AAAGAGTGATAATGAGAATGAAATGATGAAACGGTTGTGAAAAGAGATGATGTTTCAATATGATCATTTGAGAAAGACCTGTAATCCTGATGATGGCAAGGAAAACAATTAGACTTGGTCAATATGGGAAAGCCATTACCTATTGTTGTCTCTGGCAGATCAATTCTAAAGGTAACGGGCTGCAGAACTGGGCCAAAAGGAAACCAAAGAAACATATTCATGAGAATTACTACCTGGTGAAGTAAAAATAGTTTCTGTGTTTCTACATGCATCCATTTGAACATTTAACAATTCTCTAAGAACCATGATAAATATGAGAAAATTATCCCTATTAGATGCCACTCAGGAAACTTAGTTTAGTTAAAACATTAAATTTTGTATTCACTGACACTTTAAGAACATTTTTGAGTCAAGTCCTACATGTTTTACCTCAAAGTACACGCACAGTTGGAACGTAGTTATATTTACATTTTGAAATAAGGTGTAAATGGTTGGCTCAGTTAATAAGTAGGCCTTATAATATTAACATGATTTCCTATTCAATGAAAACACTTCTAGGAAAAATAAACTAATTGCACATTGTTCCCTAGTATTAACCAGGGGGAAAAAATCAAACAGATTGTATGATTACCCCTTCCCAAAAAGAAATAAAGTACACGTTTTATACTGATACTTTTTTTCAAACGTCTTCCACATCTACAATCATTAAAAAATATTTACCTCAATAATATTTTTGAAAAATATACTTCCTAATTGGGAAAATAAAAAGGTTCATTTACCAGGCTCGCTCTGAGAGACTTCGTGGTCTGGTTTCTGGGGACGGAGCACATCTCCTGGAACTGAAAGAAAAGGTTACGAAACACTGTGTACTCGAAATGTCACGCCTGGACTAAAGCAATCCACAGATACACAATCCTGGAAAGCAAGAATGAGGCAGGCGTACTTCCACAGTGACTAAGGAACACGGCGAGGAGACACCGTTCTTTTCAAAGTGGAAAAATGTTACTGTCTCAGGGAGGTTCTAGTGGGAGTAGAAAAGAGTTGGTCACAGTTCATTTCGAAGCTTCCCTTGAAAGGGAAAAAAAAAGAGGAAATAACTAATGTAATTAAACACAAGAAGGTAGGTATCCTTCAAGTTGACTTCAAAATAGAAAGTCAGTTTTTCCCTGAAGTAAGTGGTTCGGGGCCATTTGATATTCATACTAAAATTCCATTGATAGCAATAGAAAATACATGATCTTAGATAAAGTGCATAAATGGCCTAAAAATTGATGAAAATAGCAAGAAAGATAAAAGTCTTGAATATCTAAGAGAAAAACAAAGTTTTATTTTAAAAGATGCTAACAGTTATTACACGAAGAAAACAGTAAAAGGAAATCAGTCTCTCATTAGAAATACCACATGAAGAGTTGATGGAGTGCTTGTTTCATAGTAAATACTAGATAATTGTTGCCATTTTTGGCATTCTTAGTGATGTGGCTTTTAGTATATTAGGTATCAGGGCCTCCTGACATATCTATAATAATAAAAGCATAATATGCTAATTAGACCAGATGTCCTTCCAGACGACCTTCTGGAGGAAGCCAGGGCTGCGAGGGAAGCCCCGGTCCCAGGTGCCAGAGGGAAGCTGGTGTCAGCAGTCGGAGGAAGAAAGGCCTACTCTTATATGAATTTTGTGCATCGGACCTCTAGTGAGAATATGAAAATGAAGAACAAAAATGTCAGCATTACAATAAACCTATTCATATTCAGTACCTGATATCAAGTATATTTTTGATACCTTTGTCCTATTCTATTTTAACAAAATAGAACAGTAAGCTGAAAATTTGATACCTTGTTTCTCAGTGGGGCAAATTTCAGGGGGATTTGCCTATTGCTAGAATCAGATTTCTATGGCAAAGTCTTCTTCCAAGAGCAAGGTAATGTGCTTCTTTGACTCATTTTCCCCACAAGGAGGCCCTTCTCAGCCCTGCTCTCTCACTGAAAGGTTTTCCTGCCACTCCGAAGATTTCATAAATACCAGAGTCCCTTTGTAGGCAGTGTAATTTTCTTGCATCTTATATGATGCTGGGGAAAAATAATTAGAGTTCAGGCTAGAACTCTGCCTCAGAGAAAAATGAAAAAACCTTTGTATCAGGTGGCCAAGCACCACTTTACCATTAGTATAAAGTAGGTTATATAAAATGGACATTCAGTTTTTATTGCTTTGGGGGTCATATTTAAGGCACATATCACATCTGTTCTTAGTGTAGGCTGCTAACTACCACTGAAATTACAGTTGTGGAATTTGGTACATTGGAAAGAAACTTGACTCAATTAGAACTTCTATAAACTAAAAGGTAATATCCAGGGGAAATAAAAAAATCTGGATTTTTTTTGAAGGAAAAAGACAAATTCAAAAAGATCAGTGGTTGTCAAAGTTAGAGAAAACCCATCACTACAGTGACTGTGTCACCTTCGCTGTGTAGTATTTTGGGGAATTCAAATGGTAAAATATGAGGAATTTCCTGTTATAAATCAAACTAAATGTTTATCTGGAGGGTGAAGGAGAAGGTACTTGGATTTGGGTCTGTGAAGGTCATGACTAATACAAAGTGCCAGTAGTTTATAAGTAACCTAATTGGTTACAGTGTTAGGCTATACAGAGGGAGCTGGGATTAAGGAAGGGAGACCCAGAAGAAATGTGCAACCAATAAATCCACCATATTGTAAACGCATTCCTCGCTACTGCTTCAGCTGCCTGGGGAATTTGGTACCATAGTATCACAATACTGCAGCAATATTCTCATGGAGAGTGAACTTGCCACCATTCGATTGGCACTTGGTAACCATGAAGTGATGATTTAATAAACTGCCACAGCAGGCTTTCTAAAGCAGCTAAAATCAGTGGAGAGAGAAAAATATAGAAATATTCATGGGAAAGCATTATGAATCACTCTCTTGCTTGGTCAGTTGCAGCTTCAAGAAATGCAAGTTGTCGTTTTTTCTTTCCTTTTTCCCCATGTGCATGCCTCTGTGTATTACATTAAAAAAGAGCATGATTCCTAAAACCTAAACCTTCCATGCTGGGGGAAACAATGTAAATAATGACAATTTTTTTTTAAGAGGGCACTTTTGATTTCCTTATAAGAATATTTACCATTATCGTATTTTGGACTCAATTATATTAACCAACTTACCATGTATATTAATGAACCAATCAATGAAATGAACTATCTTTTTGAATAAAGGGCACCGCTCCAGAGAAAAGTTCAACTAACACACGACAATTATGAGGAGCATGTCTAATATGGACAAATGAAAACGAATGTGCATGGATGTTATGCCAGGTGAGAGAATCAATATGTTATTCCCTGACGAAGGTGGCGAAATACGAAATCTGCAATAAGGTTTACCCTGCAACAGGCTACAAAGAGACTGATCCCATAGCAAAGGAATACATGTAGGCTACACACTCTTCCACCTCCAGCTCTCTAGCCCTTTATTCTGACCTTGTTCCCTGAGGTCCAGTCTGAGAGGAAGCAGGTTCCCTGCCATTTTGGAGGCCACTTTGCAAGCTCAACCTGGGGTGTTGGGCCCCGCTCCCTCCCATGTCTCTGGGACCTTTTACTTTCCATTATTTCTATTATTTTATATTTTCTCCATTAGTCCATATTTCCATTTGTCTATCAATTTCTTCCCCTCTACCTGTAAAACAGATCAAATGTCTCACTATCTTTAAAAAAGTCATCCCCTGACATGGGTCCTTTGTCACACCATCCCTCTCTTGCTCTCATCCTTTAATCCAGTGGTTCTCAACCTTCCTAATGCCGCGACCCTTTAATACAGTTCCTCATGTTGTGGTGACCCCCAATTTCATTGTTATAAATTGAACATAATTAAAGCATAGTGATTACACACAAAAGCAATATGTAATTATATACGTGTTTTCCGATGGTCTTAGGTGACCCCTGTAAAAGGGTCGTTTGACCCCCAAAGGGGTCGCGACCCACAGGTCGAGAACTGCTGCTTTAATCAAAACCTTCTATCTGACTCTGCATCCTGGTCTCTCAATTACAACTCCTCCATCCACTGTGGTCTGCCTTCCACTGCACTGACCTTCAACAACGGGCCCATGCACGATTCCTCACCCATGGTTTTGAAGTCCAAAATGCCCTGAAACCGAAAAATTAAAAACAAACAACCAAACTCATTTCATAGCAAAACCTAACTAGAACTGGCCTCTTTGCAGTTTTTATGTGTCTTGTGTAGTATGACTCTCCATACATCTCACAGCAGACACATTAATATGCTTGCAACCTGAAAATATCTGAATTCCAAAGCATCAGCCCATGGTTTTCAGACACAGGTTTGAGCACCTGAGCTATCAAGTCCAGCAGCTCTTCTGACCCTCACAAGCGTTGCTGACCACCCTTTCCTGCCTCACCTCCTGATCCATCTTCCCTGGGACTCTCCTGCCTGCTGGCTCCTCCTCCTCTGCCCACTCCTCCTATAAAGAACTGTGTTGCCCAGGGCTTTGACCTCTGACCTCTTATTTCCTCAGTCTGTCCTTTCTCCTGGATGATGTCATCCACTCACAAGATTTAAGAACCTTCTATACAGGCAACTCCCAAATCTACATCCCACATCTTGACTTCTGTTTAGATATCCTGAAATACATGTCAACCACCAGTCAGATATTCCCACTGGAACGTCTTACTGGCCCTGCAAACCCAGCACATCCGAACACAAGCTTTACTCCTTCCTGCAGGGCCATCCTTCTCTCCCCAACACCATTCAGTCATTGGCTAGGGTTCTAGGCGCTAGCAATTCCATCTCAAAGGCATTTTAGCATCACTCCCTTACTGCCTAAGTACAAATGTGCTGCAGTGTGACTGCAAGTTAGAATTTGTCACAAAGAGTGGTTTACACAGAACAGCTGTGAGGATTGCATAGCTTGCAGAAATCTAGATTATCTTCCTGGTTTGCTCCCAGCAAATCCTAGACTGACTTATCGGATCCAGGTCTAAAAATTCAACTTTGCTACCTCTGATAGCTCTCAGTATAAATGTTGAGGTAAACATTGCGATAAAACATAACTGTCCTGATTTCAGCACATTTTGCATTTTTTAGACTTTTACAGAGCATCTATTTCTCTAGGATATCAATAAATATTAAGTACATATGTAATTTACCTCTGTTTTGGGGAAATAACCAACAGGAACCTATAAACAAGGTCTTGGGTTCATCAGGAGGCAAACCTGAGCCTACACACAACCCAGAAACTGTTTGAACACAACAGGATCTAGGTTGTTTGAACACTTGTCTGAAACATAGTAACAGTAGCCTCATGATTATTCCTATAGGCCTCACGTCCCTGGAGCACCAGGGAACTCCCTGATGAATACAGATCAGTGGGACCAACACCAGATCTAGAGACAGAATTCTAACTGGGTGACTGGATTTAGAGAATTAACAGAGTAAGCCCCAGGGAAGCGCCACAGGAACTGTTTGTGCTGTTGTTTCCCTGCTCACTTACAGGCTAGAATTTCTGTGAAAACAAAGGTGTTTCGTAAAATTAAGGCACATATTAGACATTTTAAAACAATAAAAAAAGTTCATTTGATGTAGTGGTTTAATGAGATTAAGTGACATCAGGACCAATAGTATTGCTTTCTCTCTTGAAAAAGAAAAGTGAATAACATCACTCAGATCTACTGCTGTTATCTGTAATAACTCAATTTCTGTTACATTTTTTTCCACAATTGAAAATAAGAAGCCAATCTTTTGCAAGTGGGAAGATTACCATTGTGTGTGTGTGTGTGTGTGTGTGTGTGTGTGTTTAATTGGCATTTACAATGTTGGCTGCCAGTTTAGTGCTACAAATTTAAACTCCAGGCTTCAGGGCCAAGGAGCCCCTCCCTAGCCTACCACCACCTGCAATAACCAGATAATCCCCTAGCAACAGCACCCTCCTCCCACTCACAATCTGAAAACACTACACCAACTGAATTCAGACTTGCTTCCAAAATGCCATCATTTCAAGACACAGACTAGAAATACTTTTGGTCCTGGGAATGGTCGATATGCTTCTAGGAGCACTAGGAATTTATAATAATTGGATCTTTAAAAAGAAAGAGAAAAAAACTGATAGTATTTCCCAGGTACTCTAGTTAAAAATGTGTTAGTTTTGCTTATTACATAACTGTTCAGCTAACAGTTCTTAAGGCCACTTGAAGACCTGGAGCACTGGTGGCAAGACCCAGGAAAGGTCTGATCCTTGCAGTCCCCACCCTGGATACTCCCGCAAATAGGAGATTATTCCTCATAAATGGACAAAAGGCCTTCTCAAGTGATAGGCAAGATATAAATTTATAGCTAAAAAAGCCTTTATTTTTTTTGTGTGTGTAACAGTTTTTTTTCTGAACCCAAGCTATTACTCCATGAACTGGTAAAAGAATTTACAGAACAAACAAACAAGCAAATAAACAGAAAAAACACTCAGTGCTAGATAGTGTTAAATTTCTAAACCCAAAAAAATGGTTAAACATCATTTCTTTTGTTTGTAAAAACATAATTTTATCATTTTGGGGGGAAAATTTTTGAATTCTTTATCTTATTTTGGTGGAACATTGGAATACAGCAGAGTTAGTATTGGCAGGTCATTTTTTTTTTTTTTTTTTTGGTAAGGCAGAAGATAAGGGAACTTTAGTTCTAAAAGAAACATTTTATTCTTGGCATAAGTCTCTGCTTTTTGGTTGTATAAATAGCTTACTATATGAGAACTTAGAGAAGTCTTATGAAACCTTTGAAATGATCATGCCATGTATGATACAACATGATATCTGAACATAAGTGAAATATTGACCTCATATCCAATGAGCTCTTATGTCTAATTGCAGCAGAGTGTGACAATAGAATGCATTTGGCTCAAATATGAAATAAAACATTTACCAGGTGGAGTATATGACACTTCTGGCCTTGGTGACATTTTTGGTTTTGAAGTAACACGCTGGAACCCCTTAGGAGCTGAAAGAGAGAACTCGGATCATGAGTTCTGTCAGCATCTCCTGGTCATGCTTAACACATACGATTTGACAAAGTGTAAGCCTGACAATTAAAAAATTGGAAAATGGTAGGTAGAACAATAAACCTCAAGCTCTAAAAATAGATCACTTAGATTTCCAGGTGCTTGTAGAAAATGAAATCTAAGAAATGCAAAATTTGAGTAAGCATAAGGGTAGGATGGAGAACATTTAAAAATCTTCATTTCAGAAGAGATTACGAAATTAATGAAAGAATATTCTTCTTTTCTAGATGATTGCTTGACTTCTCACCCCTCCCCCACAGCACACACATAGCCTATGTCTTCTTTGAAGATGAATTCAATGAGTCAGAGTAGAAGCCCATGAAGCATGAATAAGAAAAAGAGAAGCTTAAAGTCAAATCAGGCCACAGCAGAAAGGGAAGTGAGCATGGAAGGGATGGAGTGGGTGGGCTGGCACTCCACGCTTCCTGCAATTCTTCAGTTCCAAATAAACCTTTAAATGAACATGTTTGCAAACTAAAATTGTCTTTCTACAACTGTTCCTTTGTAACAGGTGCTAATGTAATAGATACCAGGAAAAAACTAATTTATTTATAGCGCATTTTACAATTTCAAAAATGCTTTCATAAAGATTATGCCCTCTGGTTCTTATCAGAATGCTGGGAGGAAGGAGCTATCAGCTTCACTTTAAAGATTTGGGTTGGTGACTATCTGCCTGAGGTCACATAGTTATTAAGTACCAGAGAAAAGACTTGAGCTAAAGCTGAGGTCCAGACATTATCACTAGGTCCAAACACTTGGATTCTCTATATCCAAGTTCTGCATGTCACATTTTAACTTGTTTCTCATTTTTATGAGGAAATGACAAATCTGTGCTAACTCAAAGGATGATTGTGAGAATTAAATGTTGGAATGATGTGAAAACTCTACTACTATAAATTTTTTTTCCATTTCTGGAAAAATCTTTACAAAGTTAACACTGAAGGATCTGAGAACATTCTAATTTTCACTTTGCTCCTACAAAAACTGGGAACACCTATAGTTTGGATGATTATAAGATTTCTAGGTATACAATTAATAATGGGATTATTAAGTATTACCTATGAGTATAGAAATTCAAAAATCAACTCTTTATTTAATGACAAAACATTCTTCATAATTTGTTCCAAATTTTTTATCTCACTTTGCCTTCAATGACAAATATAGATTTAAATTTTGCCATCTAATTTATAAAAATAATTCATGTATAAATAAGAAGAAAGCTGGCATGTCCATTTAAAGAGTTTCATCCTAAAAAAGTGGTGGATGAACGCATGTGTATACACTATTGTCAGATGATACCCTTACAGCCCAACAAGAGTAATTTCATTTGGTATGATACATGTGAGCAGGACATTCTCCCATCCCAAAAGCCTTTTGAAGTCCATACAAAGCTAGCCAAGGTTAGAGAGGAAGTATTAGAATTTGAATATCTGTCTTTGAAATATTTAGTAATACATACAAATATATGCATAAGCATTCTTGAAAGACTATACAACCCAAGATATTACTGGGATGTATTAGGTAAGATCATGTTCTCCTGGGTAAGAGAGATTCTAATTTCATCCACTTTTAAGAGGAATAATTGGAATGTATTTTGTTTTTCCCGATCAATTTCACAAATTGTTCCCTTGCATTAAGTATCACCAACAAAGCCAGACGTATTTGATTGCAGCTATTTTCTATGGGAGATGCTAATGGATTGGGAATTAGTTGCCTGAGTTGGGACAGAACCAGGAGGCTCTGTTGCTTGTTTGGCAGCCACTCAAGGGTTTCAGATGTAGAGAGTGTAATGCATTGAGCTTATGACTCTATTGTTCTGAAGCTGCATATCTGATGGAGGGAGCTTGGCTAATGGTCGAAATCAAACAAATTTGAAACTTTGAATATAGTATAATAATGGAAATTTAGAGTAAGCCCCTAATTTATTATTCCATATTTCTATATGTAGAGAGTTCAGCTCAAAAAGAAAAGTATGAATGTCTTTCTTGTTACTTCATACCTCTTTTATTTTTTTTTTAAATTTTACTAACCAGGAATTTATATTCCCAATGTCTTAACTCCAAGCACTTATTTTTCATCTCTACTCTTATTTTTCAACATTCATTAAGCTTCCATGCTTTCTTATTTATTTCCATTTCTCCTTTTTCTGTCACTTTTGTTCTATGCTTTATATTCAAATAAAAAATTGAGAGAATTCTCATGTGATTTGAATTTATTTTTAAAATCAGATTTCGGTTTCCTATGCATAAATTTAATCTAGTTGCTTTGTTTTTTATTCCTATTCTATTTATTAATCATTAATTCTTTCCCCCCATATTTCTTATATATTATTACACATGTATTTATTGTTATTATTTTAAATTTCTCATTCTATTAAGAGATTATTGTCTTGTTACCCTCATGTACTTATGTATCATACCCATATTATTTTCATATCAAAATTTTAGTAATTAAGTAATACACATTTTAAAGTACATTAAAGCAGATTTAAATGAGCTAGATGTGAACGTAGAATCTACTTTTAAGGAATTTCCTTTTAAAGAAAAAAATAGCAGATAAAATTTCTCTCAGAATCAGACCTTAAAGACCATGCCAAAATATATAGTTTTTTCTTTCAATAGGGATACTGAGCTATGATTAAAGGATTTGTGGTGGGAATTCAGAACTGCTACCTGCTAACGTTTTCCTTTCCCATTTTTGAAAGCAGACCATGTATAAATGATAAATTTAAATTTAGGTGACTGGCCTAGACTGTAACTTCCTTGACCATGGAAGGATTCAATTTTGTTTCACATTCCTAGTGTTTAGTGCATTGCCTGGCACATGGTCAGAATGCAATAAATATTTGTTGAATGACTGATTAAATGAATTAAACAATCACTTCAGCATGAAGGGGTGACATATTTGAAATTAGAAGAGAAGAGACACGGGAGATCAGTTGAACGATGACAATAGACTAGGCATGACTGGGTAGATGCGTGGTGTAGGCACCAATGCTAGAATGTCCCATACTTAGTAACAGATGAGCTACCGAGGCTGGGTGAGAAAGAGAGGAAAGAATCAGATATAAAGTGGTGAGAACCTGTCACAGGTGTAACGGAAAGGTGGAAAAACAATAAGCTTTCTTTGAGGCATGTCGAGTTTATGGTATTCCAACATGGAGATTGGCTGAGGTAGTTGGAGAAATTAGAGAAGAGTTGGTTAAGAGTTGGGTTAGAGTTAAACATTCAAATGAGAGCTTCTTGAACAGAATAAAAAATAGTTTATAATGAATCTTATTTGGGTCCTTATCAAAATTTTACAGCAAAACAACCAAAGCAATATAATATAATTGTTATGTTATAGGAGAGGACATGTATGTTTATTCTTCATGACATTAATGATAAATAAAATTTACTGAAAACTTAAAAAACACACCAAACTAGGTGATTGGCAAGAGGAGGCCCATTCAAGGACCATGGAAGCATTAGGGATTCTCAAGCTGGAAAAGGCAGAGAGGGTAGACAGGTTACTCTTAAGAAATTCCATTCCTCTCCATCCCCCACTCAAAATAATACAATACTAGGGAACTTTCTGGAATAACTTATACCAATAATACACTTTTCAGTATAAAAGCAAATGTAAATATTTTTCAGGTTTCAATGGAAGACCTGTTTTACCAGAGTTAAAAAATCCAACTCACAATAATTCAGCAGAACAACTTCACTAACATCAAACTCTTCAGGCTAGAATGTAAAATGTGTATTTACCTGGCTGTGTCTGAGGGACTCTTGGACGTGGAGATGTTTTTGCTTTGGGAGGAGTGCGCGCTGTCTGCTTGGGAGCTAGAAGAAAGGACATAAGGCTTGGAGCTCTTGAGCTCTTGCAAGAATCACAGTTATTTACCAGCCTCTAAGCTCTCAGAGATGTTTGTCGAGTGACTGATGAGCTACATACACAATTCATGCAGCTAAATCTTCCATACAGCTGCGAAGTATAGGAAGATAATTTCTTGTTACAGCAGAAAACAAGAGGGAACATTAAATGACATCCAAGATATTCAGCTGGCAAGTGAAGCTGTTAGAATTCTAGAAACATCTACTTTAAGTACCTTTTAAACAGGTTAAAATAAATTTCATAATAACAAGTATTCATCCTTACACGTTTACACCATTTTATCAGATCATCCCAGGATAATACATATTTTGAGTGCAAATAGATACAATTTCTTTTTTTTTTAAAAAAGTTAGCATGTCACATTCCAAATATACCTAGAAAAAAATGAATGTATTTTAGTAGCAAGTGCTGATAGAAAAATTAATCTTATTAAAGAAAATAATTTTTATTGGTCATACTGAGGAAGAGAAATTGAACAGAAATTAAAACAAAGATTACTGAAGAAAGTCATTCCTTCGCTGGGCAATTCTCAAAGGAGTTCTAGGACACTCGGTATAAAAACCAATTATTTCTTCACCAAAGAGATGAACAGTCTATGCTGCTGGGGAAAAGGAATTATCAAATGCAAGGTTGCAGTTTGTGGAAACATCTCACTTAGTTGGACTAAAGTGTATCTGGTGTAAGAGGGTAAGACTAACAAAATGTTTTCCAAAGTCAGGGAGTCCCAGGTACCTTACAAAAAGATTGCTGGAAATAAGAACTATTAGATACTAGAAGGTTCTAGAGTCTGCAGAGACTTCCTCAGGAAAATAAGTCAAAATATGCAAGGCATGCAATGGTCTTAGTGGAATCTTCTTGCCTGTAGAGAGATAAACACCAGGATATGTTGGAGGTTACACTGGTTTAGGACCCTGCAACCTGGAGTGTTAGAGCTCCCTTTGCTAATCACTGGGTGACAGCCGCAGGAACTCCATCAAAAGGTACAACAGGTTGAGAACCGCTGACTAAAGTTTTACATATGTCTCCTTTTCCCCCAACTGACCCCACTCCCCCACCAGCAGCCATTCCCACCCTGGGCAAGCCCCCACCACCCAGTGTTGTGTTCATTGGTTATGCCAATATGCATGCAAAGGTATAGAATTTTTAAAGAGCCCTTCCAATTCTAAGATTCTCTGATTCTAGAGTTTCTTTCAGCTTTATGATTTCCTGACTCCCAACTTCCTTGCTTGCTGAGGTTCCTGGCAGGCTATTTGCTTCCTCCAGGGAATAGGATAAATAGTTTGCAGGTAAGGGCATATCATGAGGCAATGCCACAAAAATGATTCAGAAAGAGATAAGAATCACTAATATTATTCACATTTAAACATTTCAATAATTTAATTATTACAGCTATTAAAAACAATAAACTTCAAAAAGCTTGAGATAACGGACACAGGTTCAATATTTAATAGGATGTTTCTGTGAACAATGAGTAAAATAAATAGCTCTATCTTTGGAAATAGAGCCATATAAAAAGTCCGATGGCAATCAAAACACAAGTTTGGACTTATGTGTAATAAACTCCTATTACAAGAGAGTCTATAAATATTGAGAGGGCTTTTCCTTATGATCAGAAGCATATTTAGTTATCGATGTTAATGACTTGTTTTCCTTAATTTCCAACTCCCCCATCAAGTAAACCTTTTATGATTTTTCAAAGTCTCTGGTTTGATGTCAGTTTCTCTTATTTGCATGCAGTGAAATGGTCAAACCACTGCAGGAAGGAATGGAAAGAAGTAAAGGACCGGGTAATGACAAGGTGACAGGCCAATAATACCTTTATCTGGACTGTGTGGTGAAACTTGTTTCTGTTAATACATGACCACAGAACTTGTAAAACTAGTCAAGATGACCAAGTACTTAAAATTAGGATATCTATTTATATTTAAATGGTATGTAAGTGGTCTTCCCCAGAAACATTACTATTTCCCATGTTAAACACTTGCACAGCAAGACTGTTCACCACACGTGACGGCTACAAGTGATGGACAGATGAGAAGAGGGGCAGTGACAACTGTGAGCTGAGTGATGGAGGTGGGGCTTCCAATGTCAAGCAGGGCCCTTGTTACCGTTCCATTCTTCCATTCTGCAAACACTCACCTTCTACATCAAGTACAAAATAATGTATTTACCCGGTCCAGTCTGAGGTTCATTTGGGCTGAGTAGGATTACAGTTTGGGAAGGCGGAGTTGATGCTTCTACGCTCATTAAAGGAGAATAACCGAGGTTACCATGGTGCTTTGCACACCTTAAGTACAGATGACAGAAATGATGGTAACAAGTAGACTTTTTTTTTTAAAGAAACTGCAACTCTGCAGCAAAAATAGCATTCCTCTTTCTTCATAATGCCTTAGTTAAAAAAAATGCTTGGAGATGACAGGTTATAAAAATACGTTCAAAGTAAGTAATGTCCTTATTTTTAAAATTTTCCCTTCACCCTAGTAATTCTTCAACAATGCTAGAAAGATATATTCCGTAGTAACCATAAAGGGAAAAACGAAGTAATAAAAAAAGTGATAAATAAAGCTAAGCCAATTCAAGAAGCATTGACTTTCACTTAAACAACAGAGAAAACATCAAACATGCAAATGAACACGATGGAATGAGTGTTAACGGAAAATGTGTTGCCAGGGTAGAAAGTATGAATGGGTCGTTATACAAAATACATCATCTGAAATATTCAACACAACATCAAGCTGGCAGAATATGCAATGTTAGGGAAAAGATGCTTTAGATTTGATAGTTTCGCTGACTTAAAGTAGGGACAGAGACCAGGTCTCGATACAAAACTGAGTGAACAAAGAGACTTCTTGGACAATGGTTATAAATAGAAGAATCTAGAAATGATGCTGCAACATGAATTCACAATGAGAGAGAACCTGAGGTTCTCAGATGATGGTGGCAATGAGGACAAAAGCTGCTTAGGTATGTCATTACCTAACGCGGTCTCGGGTGGTTCAGACACATTTGTAATAGATTCCACAACTGTATCAAAAAAAGGAGAACAATTTTAAAAATTGTCACACATCCAGCTATAGTCAAGTATTTTTCTTCAATATCAACACATCTCATTCTCTTAAGATTTTGCATCGTATTTTTACAGATAGGACAATGAATTTAGACAAGAAAAAAACAGAACCAAGAGTGGAAATTCTATCCTATAAAACTAACCCTCCAACTAATATTTATGTTTTAACTGTTATTAACTGGTTGTCAACTATTATTATGCCTCAATATTTAGATACTGCAGAGAAACTGAAATCTATTTCTGTATTCAGAGAGCCTATTATCATGTTAAGGATCCAAGAAGTTGGAAGCTATAGCTCTTCAAATCTATTCAATTGAAGAACAAGTACAGCAGCTTGAACTTCCATGTTCCATGGACATAATATACGTGAACTAAATATTGTTTAATTAAACGAATCAAAGCATGAAAACCTTTACCACCTTCATTCTTTGGCTCCTCTGGCCTGAGTGGTGCTTTGGAAGTGGGATCTACATAATCTGTCTCGGCTGATGCTAGGGAGGAAACAGGGAATGTCTGGTTAGTGGTGGGCAGCCCATAGCACTCTGTAATGGAATATTGCTTAATGTGAAAACAAAGATTACTAGATACATCTGTGAGAATAACATTTAGGTGATTTATGAAGATGACTACAATTTAAGATGGCAGAATGAAAGCAGGAAATAAAGGCAATGTGGGAAAACACACACACACCACACACACACACACACACACACACACACACACACACACCAGCAGTTTCTACCTGGAGCAAAGCAGCTTGTTTCACTTCTTTACATTTTTTAAAAGAATTCTAGTGAAAAAAAGACATAGAATGAGTCCTTGGGAAGCATGAGGATGAATACTACAAATGATATTAAAATGAAAAATAGCATATTGTGCATATTTATATTGAAAGAGTGATCAGGACATAAAAATGTAAAATTTACATTCCGACTGAGAGAACTAAATAAGGAAATTGTGAAACTTGCATAGCAGTAGAGCAGACAGCACAATGTTCTCTATATAATGTTTGACTTTCAAGACTCACTAGATGAGCACAGACAAGGTGTGAGGAGCTATGAAATGTCACAAAGCATGAGGGCATTCAAAGAGGACTTCCACAATGAGATGGAGAAAGTACATATACCTGACTTCCAATTAGGAAACATTTTTACCTCTAGCTCCCTCTGATGACTCAGTGCTAAATGTAACAGATTCCAGGCCTTCAGAAACTAGTAAAAAACAACACAGGATGATACAATTGATCACTATGGGTTGCTGTGAACATTGAATGGATGAATACAAACTATTTAGAAAAGTGCCTTGTACCTATAACTGCTCCATGCTAGCCGATATGATAATACGCTATTACTAAAACCAAAAGAAGCTCTGATAACTGAATTGAACCCACAGTTGTATAAATGTTGTAAGTTACCAATAACAACCATACCTTGTGCTGCCAACATGAGTACTCAAATGCCATTAGCTAATTAAAAGATGCACAAAGGAGACGAATAAGATTACTATCCTATGCTATAAAAAGTAAGATCCAAAATTTCAAGATAAATGTTAGGGTGTAACAACAGCATTGCTAAGGATGTTTTAAAAATTTAGTTTTCAATTTTGAAGGCAATAAGTTCAGGTTTATGTTGTATAAGTAAAGTTTTTTATTTTTCCTGAAGGGAGAATTTTCTTCTTCCTTGATGGTCACAGTTGAACTAGCATTCTTTTCACGTGGCAGAACAGAATCAAGCTTCCTGCTAAACCGTACCACAAATTCATAGCTCTTAGTGAAAACTAAGGATAAAGAATAAAACCAGTTCTTTTAAGTGGTTTTGTGGGTTACTTAATCAGATACATGATTATTATCTAAAAAGAAACAGAGCAAAC